AATGATTTTTGTTCTGGGTAGATATCTAGTAACAGGCTTGTGGGATCAAATGGATGCTTGACTTTTAGTTCTTTAGGAATTCTCCACACCCCTTTTTTTTAAGTGGTGTAACAAATTTTAATTTAAAATAGAGACTCTGAAAACAGTACATTAAAAAAAAAAACACTCAGGGGCAGTAACTTTATTCCTGAGTATCATAGTCTTTCCCTTTCATTAGTTTATCAGCAGTTAGGTTAGAAGAATTTTGGGGTGTGTTTTTTCAACCTTTATTCTAAAGGCACTAGAGATGTACTTTCTTCCCTTTGAACAGAGAAATGACTTATCAGCATTTTAAAAAAGGGGGAAGGTCTGCACTGAAAACTGATTTCAGCATCTACAGAAGAATTCTCCATAGTTCTTTCCAAAAAGGTTGTATTAGTTTGCAATCCTACCAGCAGTTCAAAAGTGTTCCTTTCTCTCCACGTCCACACCAGCATCTGCAGTTTGATATTGCCTATATAATGTTATGTAACCTATATACTGTAGTCAAACTTCACTAATTACTCCAGTAATGTTCAATTTCTGGTTCAGGATCTGATTAAACATCACATGCTGCACTTGTCAGGACATCTTGGTTTATTTTATTTGGAACAGTTCCTCGGTCTTGGGCTTTCCCCATCTTTATAACTTTGAAGATTACAAGCCATTTAGTGTGCAGAATTAGGGTTTGATCGGTTTCTCATGGTTAATACTAATATTTCAATGGTTTATTCATGTCATCAAGAATAGTATAATGATGTAAATACAGTGTCCTAGTTAAAATACCTGGGTGCAAATTCTGGCTCTACCAGATAGTGTGTGACTTTGGGTTTTGTGATTCAGTTCCCCATCTGGAGAAACATCAGTATCTATCTGTAGGGTTGGTGGGATTATTAAAGGAGTGGATTGAATATATTTAAAGTGGCTAGAACATTTCCTGGCTCATAATAAGTACTGTATAAGGGTTAGCTAATACGAGGAGTTGGGTTTTGGCAATCAATGAAGCAAAGTAGCAGCAGGTATTTTAGCTGTATACAGGGAAGGTCACCCTGTATATCCTTTGCTCATTCCTGCCCAAAGATCCAAGGCCAAAGCCTTGCTGCCAGCAGGAACTATGGCCTCCCTTGAGGTGTACTGTTCCTTTCAGCCACAGGCATGTCTAGTACTTGCTCCTACGGCCAATGAGATGAGGTCTTGCTGGATTCATATGGCAACATTTCTTTAGCACAATAGATCCATGTACTAAAAACTGAGTTTCCTTGCCTATCAGTAGCTGGGAAGGATATGTCAAATTAATAAAAAAAAAATTCCTAGGTATTTTATTTTCTTTGCAGCTATGATAAATGGTATTGAGTTCTTGACTTGACTCTAAGCTTGACAGCTATTAGTATATAGAAATGCTACTGATTTGTGAATATTGATATTGCAACCTGAGATTTTGCTGAATTTATCAATGAATATACATACTTACCAAGGAGGTGAAAGATCCCTACAAGGAGAAATACAAAACACTGATGAAAGAAATAACTGATGATACAAATGGGAAAACATTCCATGCTCATCAATTGGGAGAATCAACATTGTTAAAATGTCCATAATGTCCAAAGTGATTTATAGATTCAACACAAAATATCAACATCATTTTTATAGATCTAGAAAAAATTCTTAACTTCATATGGAACCAAAAAAGAGCCCAAATTGCCAGAGCAATCTTAAGCAACAAATCGGGAAGTATCATATTACCTGACTTCAAATTACACTACAAGGTTATAGTAACCAAAACAGCATGGTACTGGTATCCAGACACACAGACCAATACAACAAAATAGAGAGCCCTGAGATAAAACCACATAGCTATGACCAACATTTTCAACAAAGCAGACAAAAACAAACATTGGGGAAAGAATGCCCTATTCAATAAATGGTGCTGGGCAAACTGGATAGCCTCATAGAAGAGAATAAAAAAACAGGATCCTTATTGTTTAACATACACAAAAATTAACTCAAAATGGATTAAAGACTTAAATGTAGAGGCCATACAAGGTCTAGAAGAAAAAGTAGGAAAAAACTCTTCTAGATATATACCTGGGCAAAGTATTTATGACTAAGATCTCAATGGCTGGGTGAGGGGCTCTTTTACAACTGGAACTTTATGCTGAAAGTGAGAACTATGTAATCTAAAAGTGTATACCCTCATATTAATTTGAAATAAAGGGGAAAAAAGACCTCAATGGCAAATACAGCAACAACATAAATAAGTTTCCCTGCAAAACAAGAGGAATAATCAATAGACTAAACAGTGTACAGAATGGTAAAAAATAGTTGCAAACTATGTATCTGACAGAGGACTAACATTCAGAACCTACAAAGCACTCAAAACACATCAGCCAGGAAAACTGAATAGCCACATCAGAAAGTGGGTAAAAGACATGAACACAGTTTATTCTAAAGAAAGATAGACAAATGGCCAATAAACACATAAAAAATACATCACTAATCATGAGAGAAATGCCAGTTAAAACCACAATGAGATACCAACTTACTCCTTCCAGAATGGTCATTATTCAAAATCAAAGGGCTTGAGTGTGGAGACTCATGTCTGTAATCCTATCACTCTAGGAGACTGGTGGGAGGACTGCTTGATCTCAGTTTAAGACTAACCTGAACAAAAGCGAGACCCTCTCTTTACTAAAAATAGAAAAACTAGCCAGGTGTTATGGCAGGTGCCTGTAGTCCCAGCTACTTGGGAGGCTGAGGCAGGGGGATTGCTTAAACCCAGGAGTTTGAGGTTGTTGTGAGGTAAGATGATGCCACAGCACTTTAGCCTGGGGCCACAGGGTGAGACTCAAAAAAAAAAAAGTCAAAAAACAATAGATGTCAGCATGGATGTAATGAAAAATACAGCAGATACACTGTTGCTGGGACTGCAAATTCATACATTTGTGGAAAACAGTATGGAGATTCCACAGAGAACTAAAAGTAAACCTAACTATCCATCTAGCAATCCCACTACTAGATTATCTACCCAAAGAAAAAGAAGTCATTCTGTCAAAGATATTTGTACTTGAATGTTTACTGTAGCACAATTCATAATTGCAAAGATGTGGAATCAACCTAAGTGCTCATCAATTCATGAGTGGATAAAGAAAATGTGGTACACACACACACACACAGCATGGAGTACTATTTAGCCATAAAAAGGAATAAAATAATGTGTTTTGCAGCAAGTGGAAAGAAACTAGAAACCATTATCCTAAGTGAAGTTGAAGTACCTCAGGAATGGAAAAATAAACAACATGTTCTCACTAGTAAGTGGAAGCTAAATGATGGGTATATATGATTATGAAGTGTTGTAAAGGACACTGGTAACTAAGAAGGGGGCAGGGTGGGAAGGAGGTGAGGGATAAAATCTTATCTGTCAGTATTATGTACACTATTCTGATGACAAACATAACAAAACCCCTGATTTTAGCATTATATTAAATATAATTCACCCATGTAACAAAAACACTGTATTCTCTCAATGTTTTGAAATAAAAATTTTAAAATAGAAAAAAAGGACATTTTAAAAATTGAAAAGATTTAAAAAATAATTTAAGTTGCAAAACAACTAAGCTTTCTTTCTTCCTGACAACTATTCCCTAAACCCAGGCCTTCTGGCTTCATTAGTATGCATCCAGCACTTTAGCCACAAACACATTCACTGAATAACCATAGTGATGACCTCAGCCCCTAACCTTTGCCTGTGCTCTTTGTTGAAGGGGCCAAACCACTCAGACCCTCACAAGACCCATGGTAGAGGCCAATCCTGGCCAGACTAATCACTGAGGTAGAGAAGAAGCTCCCCGTAGGGCTGGACAGGGTAAGGGAAAGAGGCCTGAACAGACAAGATTCCAAAAAGCTAGAAAGCACACAAGACATCTGTGAAAATGTAAATGACAACAGTTCAATAAAAAGTCAAATAATAAAAACCTAAATATAAAAATAAAAATGCTTTGATCTGATTAGCAAATGACACTTTATAAAGCAATTGTAATCTTTCACCTTATTTGCCTCCCCATCCTCAATACCATTTTATAGGTGAGAAGAAAGGATTGAGAGAAACATGGCTCTAAGGTGCAACATTAAAAATTTCAGGGCTCGCCTTTAAATATAGCACATTTTCCACTCAAGAAGAAAATATGCACTAAATATAGGTCAAAGACCAACAGGATTAAAAGCCTACCTAAAGTGGCTTTTAAAGTCTAAAGTGTAAAAATGCAATGCAACCATCTTCAGTGAAGCAACTTTGGTTTCTTGGCAGTCAAGAATAGCAGGATTTGAAGAAAAGGGATTTTAACAGTGTCTTGGGTACAGGGTGAACAAAATAAGGATGGGTGGTGGGAGTGGGAGGGACGGTGTGTACACATACATTGTTGGACCAATTTTAAGCTATTGTAAAATTCTTTTGTATTTGGCTTACTTAAGAATTAAATGAAATCTATGTTAACCAGCTTGATGAAAGTATTTCAAATTGTATATGAAAACACTACACTGTACCCCATGTTTGCATTAATGTATACAGCTATCATTTAATAAAATAAATAAATAGAGATGCTTTTATCCAAAAAAAAAAAAAGAATTAAATGATTTCAAGGGTTGGAGTCTCAGACCACAGACCACATTCATCATACTACCTGCAATATGTGGGAGGCAGCAAGCACACTGCCATGCACACAAAAGACTTTCAGTATGTATTTGCTGATTTGGCTGGATCTATGCAGTAGCAAAATAAAGTCTTATTAAAGACTCCCACAAATATCTTATCCTCCCCAAATTAGGTACTGTCATAAAATGTCAACTGAACTCACATAGAAATATTCAACCTTTTGTGAATGGTACAGGTCAAAAGGAAATTAGAAACTTATTTCCTATCACCAAATTGCTACTATATTATTTTGATATCAAACTGAGACCTTCCCAGAAACGAGGCTGAAATATACATCGTATCATACCAAAGTTTATTGATTACATCAAACAAAAATCTCTGTAATGAAAAAGGCAAGTTGCATTCATAAAAGATGGCATTCACATTCATTTTAGAAAGCAACAACATAGATGTAAAAAATTGCTTAAGTGAAAAATGTAATAATGCAGTCCTGTTTTGCAAGCTGAAAAATGATTTTGTCAACATTTGCATAAAATCTGCACATTTATATACTGCATGTTATTAAAAAATTCCATCACTAAATTATATGAATTTTGCAAGTTTAGGCTTACATTTATACTGTTGCTGGTGTATATGTGGTAGGTATGGAATGAACATTTTCAGTTTAGTAGGTAACATCCTCAAACAATGGACAATAGTTGTGAAGATTATAAGGACATTTTGCCAGATCAAAACTATTCAAATTATAGGCATATGATCCCCTTCGCTGTCAAAAGTAGAATGGTTAGATTGTAGTGTTTAGGAATAGTGAATGGCTTATTTCAAGTTTCCATCTGCTAACCTCACAGCCAATTTTTAGTTGTTTGATAAAATCTCTTTCAAAAAGGAAAGCCAGGTCCCTCTCAAGGATTTAGTCCCAGCTATGACATAACATTGCCATTCTGAATTTGAGCTGCAGTGTAGTGTAATATGTAGCTGAGGCATGATTCTAAATCCCCCTTACTCCTCATCTTTCTTTCTGTAGTAAATTTTATATGCAACTAGTTAAATTTTTACTATCCTGGATATTCTGATTATATCAACTCCCCAATGGTTCTGAATTAAATAAACCTCTCTATTGTGGCTCTCTTGTTTGTATTCACAGTTACTACAGTTCTTTTGTAAAACAACAACAATATAGCTATTAACAACTATAAGACAAGAACAACAACAACAAAATATCAAAAGCTTTCCTGGGTTAGACATTTTAGCTCTTTGGAATAGGCAAAGAATATAAAGCTGTTTTCAGCAGCTTATCTCAAATACAGACTACCAGAACAGGGCACACTTAAGTAAGCTGTGATACTCAGAAATAATACTGATAGATGAGAATAAATGAAATAATCAAAAAGGGTCAGAAATGACAGAATAGTTTCAGATAGCTGAAATTATGTCTTTTCTAGGATTTAAGAAAAATCACACCTAAACATTAACACAAAATACATGTGGAAGAATCAAATGTGCCATATGGACTATATAAATATATTGATACAGACTGAACTCCAACACTTTTCCAGATCAAGGTACAATATAAACATTAATAATAATACAGGTACAGGCATGCCAGAAAGACAAACACAAATGAAAACTGATATGAAAATATTTTTTAAAGGCCATTTCAATCTAGCAGTCAAATGTGGTCATTATATCCAAAAAAGAAAAGACATTTCACATTTATTTTTAAGTGAACTCATCAGAAGGCTAAAACCTCCTTTCAGTCCACCAAGTTTCAGACTTTACCAACATCAACGTCATGGTTTAACATTAAACCACTGCCCTGGCCAAGTTATCTATGAAAGACAACAACATTCATGTTCACAGAGTCATGGCTCTAGAGGCTGAACAACCATTTGGGAACAACCATTTTAATCCCTCCTCTTCCCAAATTGGCAAGTTTAAAAAAAGTGCTGCATATATGCATGAATGCAACTGCTTTCAAATAAAAACCGTTAACAGATTAAAATAAGCTATTCTTCCTTTCTTTCCACATAAAACTATAAAGGGCTGATGTTCAGATTGGTCTTTATTTTTGTCTAACTATGGTTTGACATATCTTACCTCAAATTCAGTAAAATTCACATTGGAAAAATCTTTTTATTTTCTAACTATTTTGAGGGGCTACCAAGTGATTTTGAAATGTATGATGTCTGATTTTGATGTCTAGTAGCCTTACACTCGTAGTGGGGTTTAATTCAGAAGAACAAAAATAAACATTTTCTTTTCTCATTTCCACAAAGATACCTGGAATTAATACCTTCCATGTAAGTGTTCAAGGTATTTTTTTGGCAAGGATATTCTACCAAGACAAATTTTGAATGTGGGTGAACAGAAAGGATTCTGTTTGATCTACTGATAAGATTTATCCTTATGTATATTCAAGTATTCCTTACATATGTTTGAAAAAATAATTTAAGATGATCATTCATCAGGAATGAGAAAAGTTCCAAACAGCCTATTTGTTCTGCCAGGCAAAAAAAAGTAATGTTAGCAAAATCTATTCATTCTCATTGTATAACTTCTACTTCATACTACTGTATTTAAATCCATTCACAAAGTCATGGGTTAAAAGAGCACCCATTTGGTAGTTATATTAATCTATCTAAAGCCAGAATTATAAGTGTTCTTGCTTCAACTTTCATATAATTCTTAACTTACAGCTTTGGCCATAAAGGCTACTTACAACAATGGTAAATAGTTATAGGAATCACTTGGTATTTTAATGAACATTTATTCTGAACCCTAGACATGAGAGTGGTTTAGTTTGTTGCATATTGAGTATCCTGAGATGATAACTTTTGTAGTTTTCTTCATGCTTTCTTTTTTAGCTGTAACCACTGTTAATATGCTTGTAGGATAACAACATAGGCAGTTCAACATTCGGGTTCTGAAAAATTTAAAATAAACAGAGTTAAAAGGTTTATTTTAATAATGTGAAACCATCTGGTTAGCATTTTCAAAAATAAATCAAGTAGTAAATTTTGTTATGAAAGTAAAGTAACTATCTTAACCAAGTGCCAAGTTTTATTCACATGCAGGGCAGGGAAAAAGAGTGATACTACAAGTAGATTTTAATTCTTTCTTCATTTATCAGCTGAATAGATCCAGGCTTGCTTTTTGCTTTTGGATTGCTCCAGGGTTCTCCTACTACTTTTTACCATAGCAGAGGTGTACTTGCTATGATCCTTTCCTCTAGGCTGGAAGCTCCTTGTAAACAGGGGCATTTTTTTTTATCTTTCTATCTCTAGCACCTAGTACAATGTCTAGCACATAGCGGATGCTTAGGCAATGTTGAATAAACGAATGGATTTCCTTATTGTGGATGTGTTAATTTACACAAAGGAAGTTTGAAGATATATTCAGTTTGGGAAGATTATTAAGAAAATATTCTTCCTTCACTGAAAGAAGCATGCCCTCACCCCCCCCCCATATTGAAGTTAATTTTCTTCTTGGTAGATCATATATCTATGAATTAATTGGACTCTTCTGTTTTTTTATGCATTGTCTTTTTAGAAGAGAACCACAAAAACTTCCTTAAAATTCTGTAGATTCTTCCATGTCCTCTAAACATCACTGGAGAAACCAGGATCAGGATGAGGGCATGCCAGACAAACTGATCAAGTATAATTCAGGTATCTTGAGAAATGGAAATCACATATCAAGGGAGGGACCCTAACTTTGGTTCTCCACTCTAAAATTCAATCTTTTTTAACTTGAGTAGTAGAAGGCCTTAAATAGTTTGCTATTTTCTTCTCATTTTGGGACACCTCCCTTGCCATGGTTGGACTAGAAGTCCATTAGGATACCTTCCATTTATATCTATATTTCATATTCTCCAGAACCTATATCAGGTTTTCAGGCTACTCAGCAGGGTCATGGTGACTCTAATCAAAATAAGGTTGTTATTTATAATAAGAATGTATGAAGGGAATCAGGTAGCTCTCTTACCAACCAAAGAGCAAACTAGGTGCCTAAACTAATTGCCAAGTATATTTCCTGGAGGAGAGAACACCACATGAAAATCTATTCCAGGAAGAAATAACTACATTAAAAATAAAACAACTGTTTAAAAAATACTTTCTTAATTCTGTGTTAGACACTATAGGAGATAAGACCCTGGAGAGGCCAAAAGCAGTAGCAGAGTCTGCTACCCAACCCAGTTCCCTACACCACAGACCAAACTAAAAAAAGCAATCCAGGGGGATACAAAATTAACTGGAAATAGTATAGCTGAAGCATATATAACTAAAATCACACAGCTTAGAGCAAGGCAATCTGGATCAAAAGGGACAAAGACTTTGAAGGCTACTGAAGCAGATTCATTACTGAGAGAAAAGACATGAGGTGAGTGTTCATAAATGAATAAAAAGATGCAGATCGGGGCAAAATGAGTTTGCTTCTAAAATAACAGTGAAGATGTAGATTGTGGTGAACTGCAGGAAGCAGAAGAACCAATGGATTCATTAGTTTAATTTTTATTCTTTGCCAGAGGGTGGGGGAGTTGATAGGTGATGAAAAACTGGGCCTAGGAGGTAGACTCACCCTTGTTGGTTTCAAAGTGAACTGACCTGCAATTTTATTCATGACGATCATTAATTTTTATGGGTTCATGAAAGACTGCCCTGCCATAAGCTGCACTGAATTGTTTCCAAGCTGACAAGCTTGCAAGCCATGTTCATGAATTACTCTAAATTCTCATAGATGGATAAAAGAACTCCAGAGGTGTGGAGTGCCAGAGGCTCCTGCCAAGGGAAATATAGACTGCACATAAATGAGTCATTCTGCATTAAGGGTTCCTCCCATGGCATATAAATTCCTCTCAAAAATTTTTTTGGGTAAATGAAACAATATGTTATTAAAATGAATTTATTCATTTTTGGAAACATTAATTATGAAGTATTTTATATCATTAGGTAAGTATCCCCCTGAATGGTTAGGAAAAATTTTACTGCTGAAAGTTGAAACATTTAGTTTGAATAAAACTTGACATTAAAAAGAGTTATGATTAGCATAGACTGGCTCGTTAACATATATTTGGGGATCAGACAATTACAAGGACAATTATAAGGACATTAGGTATATACACTACCTGCAAACACACAGACACAGCACAAGAAGGTACAAACACATTTAATTATTTTCACATAATTCCCAAGAACATGCACGCTAAACTAGCTTGATATTATACAGATGCAATTTTGGAATATTTATTTTCAATTTCCCAAATTATCTTTACAAATCAAAATTACATTTCGTGATCAATATTAATGAGCATTTTCACAAAATGGTACTGCCATGACAACTTGCCCCTTGCAAACTAAGTAAACTGTGTTACCATTCAGCTCTGAAAAAAGTCTAAAATTTTATTTGGGGGCCTTAGGAAAATTTAAAATGTATTTCCTCATATTCCAAGCAATGCATCTTTATATTTTTGCAAAGAATAGTATAAAGTTCACCACACCAACAGCAGAGAAAATTTAGAGAGTGATATTTTCATTTTTTCTTTATAATGCTGTTAATCTGTTTCTTTAAAGCCAGCCCACTTGTTTAACACTAGGTACCTGTTACAATATATTAGATTCGTCTGAGAATGTTCGTAAAAGAAGAGGTCTGACTGAAGGTCTGGCGGATAATGAGTCAGATGCCCTTCTACAGCTCAGATTTCTCTGAAATAGTGAGGCAAAGATACTTAAAAGCATTGAGATAATTGGTTAACCTACCTGGTGATAAAAAATGTAGAAGGAAGAAATCATTTCCTATAGACTACTCTTCCAGCCAAAAGTACAAATGATTATACTATACAGCAAATGCATAACATTCAAATGAATACAATTAAAGGCCTAACAAAGTCTCCAACTCGAACTGAATTGTTTTCATGATAAAAGTAAAGAGAGAATAGTAAAGTGGCAAACTTGGGTTTTTGAAATGGCACTGGTAGGTTATATGGCAGGATGAGTCAATATGGTTTGATTAGTAAACCTTACCATCCTTTTGGTGAACACCTCTGAGAGTTGTGCCAGTGCTGTGAGTGTATCAAACAAACACAAATTTGTGCAAAACATTCCTCTCCTGTAAACAGACTGGCTTTGACATACCATGGCTACCACTGCATACTGTGGATCGATGAGCCTACAGACCTACAGTTCAAGCTTTTGAAAATGACTTCTCTATTGTGACAATTTAGAAGGTGAACAAATGATTAAAAGAAAATGACAAAATTGTCTAAGTATCAATAGAAGATGTAAAAATGAGTAATGAGAAGTAATTTTTCATAAAGAATCAGAAAATGGTGTCAGGCAAATGAGAATGCAAGCAAGTTGGTACATTAAGAAAGGAAATCACCTTATTCACTCCAAGAGAAACTGTGATTGCTGGAAGTTTGAGAAAGCATGAAGATAGTAGATGTTCCTGAGGAAGGGAGGCGTTTCGTTACCTTGTTCACAATTGCACAAAAGGTGGAAAATTGCAGTAGAAAAGAGAAATGCAGAAACCAAAAAAAAAAAAAAAAAGTAAATATTCTCTCAAATGTAAGACATTTAAAAAAAAACTCTGAGAATTAGAAGTAAAAAAAATGACATGTTAGTTCTGAAGACATTACTTACTGAAGCAAAAGTAGAGTTAGAGTTAGGAACAGTCTATGATTATGTGCCAACTACTATTTCTCCACATATCAATTTGAAATGATTTTGCTAACAGGAAAATAGACTATTTTAAATAAAATAGCTTTAAAATATGCCTCTCATTAACATAAGACTTATCTGTAATCATTAATTCTAATCTACTTTTGTTCAAAACCCATTGGTCAGAAAGCTATGCCCAGGGTTCATCACCAATTACCAATCTATCTTGAAGTAACCATCTCCCTTATCTGAATCCACAAGTACGTTATGAAGGGACTGACTGCTCTAAGGCAGTTGCAGGTTAAAAACCTAATCAAAACTAATAGTAAGAAAAAAATCTGGTGATATCACATTTTAGTCCCATTTATTTCCAGACCAATGCTTAACTTTCTTACTTCCAAAACAATTTGATTGGTTTCTCTATTTTTCCTACAGGGACCTTTAAATTTTTCCTAGGTTAAGTATGATTTTTCCCCCTTAAGACACTTAAAATCATTAAAATTAATAAAGTTTAACTAGAAAATCTAAGAGGTTATTTTCCCTCTTATTCTGTGCCTGAAATTATAAGGTACTTGGCTTTAGCATTGCCCAAGCAAAACAGATGATGAGTAGTCAACTATGTGGATGAGCTGAACAACTCTCCTAATCAACATTATCCATATTATTTACTTAGTGACTAATAAAAATAGGCTTATAAATGAAACCAGCTAAAGTAACAAACATATCCAGCAGAGTCTAATAAACAATTAAACTTTTAAAGGGAAAATACTTCAATTTACTCACATACTTTGACATAGCTAAATTTTTCCTTGTTTATATATTTTACCTTAAATATAAGCTTATGATATGTTGTTAACATGCAAATTACTAATTGATAAAACTACAGAAAAAAAGATGTAGTTTTTGACAAAAAGTTTTAGTTGCTTCTATCTTCTATTTTGTGGGCACATACCTTACAAAAAGATTAATATGTTACTAAGTCTTCCACCCTCCATGTTTAATGTATAAGCCTATCTATGACTGCAACTGTAAGCACATTTTAGTGTGCTGAAAAATTTGCATTCAACTGTCAGATGAAAGTATTTCTATGAAGCAGAAATTTTAGGGGTTAGCATATGAGGTGTTAAAGCTACTTTATTAAAAAAAGAGAAAATAAGAAAGTACAGAAAGCAGTAGAAAGCATGGGAAGAATATCTAAAGCAATAAAACTAACATAGCTAGCAACTGGCAAGGGAGGGGGAGATGAGGAGGACAGGAGATAATGAGCTAAAACAATGTAATTTCTATATTCCTTCACAGTAATTGACACAGGTTTGACACTAGCTTAATTAGCAGGGCGTCAAAGAGGCCAATGGATAAAGGCCATCTCAACAGCCACAACAACAGGATCCAACTTTATTCTTGTGTAATATAATTTACAGGGCTATTCTCCTTTGAACCCATGGTTACTATACATGTACGACACCTTAAGAATCACAGTAATAATTATCATTATTACCATTATTATTATTATGATAAATGGTATTCCCCAAAATTCCGAAGTGCTTTCTCTGGGAATGTGGTTTGAACAACTGTCTGCCACTCTGAAAGAGCTCTCTATATGAAGGAGTATTTCTTCTTGTTTGTGCTGACATCCCATGCTAGGCATTGCCATGTTGTTGGGTCCATTCCCATTGGATCAGTCCGCCCATGTCTAGCAAGCAAAGTCAAGTCTCCCTTTTAATAGTGGTAGTTTTCATGAGAAAACTTTACATAAGAATATGTAAAAATTCCTCTATTGGAAATGTGAAGTGGTATTTACTTTTCCTGAAAGTTCAAGTGTATTTCATTGATTTAGAGATGGCTAATGACTGCTTAGAGGGGACAGCTTTTTCAAATACCCAACTTTAGATTTCCTTTCGAAGTGTTATCCTGCTATTCAATGCTTGATGGTTTTGTATAATACACCACCAGTACCTACACAGCTTTGTCACTTTAGAAGCTAAAGAAAAGCCCTATCATCCTTAATAATGGAATTTTAGCATTTACACCTCATTGCTGAAAAGATACCTTAGGGCTACATATCTTAACTATAACCTTGAGTTAAACAACTGAAGAGAACCTATTTCTAAAGATAGCAGAATTATTTTTATTTTTATTTTTTGAGACAGAGTCTTACTTTATCACCCTAGGTAAAGTGCCGTGGCATCACAGCTCACAGCAATCTCAAACTCTTGGGCTCAAGTGATTCTTTAGTCTTAGCCTCCTGAGTAGCTGGGACTATAGGCACCCACCACAATGCCTGGCTATTTTTTAGAGATGGGTTCTGGCACTGGCTCAGGCTGGTGTCAAACCTGTGAGCTCAGGCAATCCACCTGCCTTAGTCTCCCAGAGTGCTAGGATTATAGGCATGAGCCACCGTGCCTGGCCAGAATTCTTTATATCATCATGACAAAATTAACTGTGGTAGAAGCCACCATACTAGCCTTTTTTACTGGAGGCTTTAGGAAGTAGGGATTCAGACCTTGAAATATTTCAGTTGTGTTATAACAAGCCATATCATTGAATATACTATAAATAAAGAATGCCCTTTATAACTAGAGCTCCTTATAAGCCATGTCTGATCACCCCTGAATTAGCAATACCTAGTACAGTAACTAACTCATATTGGGTCCTCAGGCAGTGTGCCCCGAATGGAATGGAGTTCAACATTCATTCAAGGCTGCTTCTCTAATTGTTAAATACAAAGCCTTAGCTTCTTTCTGAAATTCCACAGATACATTTTCACTATCCACTGCTAAGTAACTCTTCTCAAAGCAGCTACCAGACCACATGAAGACAGTACTGGTAGCATACTGGCCACAGGTATTGTTGGCTATTGTACAAAATGTCCAAGATGTTTACGGGTTCAAGTCAGAGGGATCATCTATACTAGGTAGGGAAACACACTCTCTCCCATTAAGGAGCCTATCAGGGTATAAAGTAGATCCCGTGTAAAATAATAATTTGCCTCTCTGTAAAATGAGGCCATTGTCTTAGCAAGGAATATTGAACAAAGTAGGAAGTCACCAAAGACATTAGACTGTTGGTCACTAAGCATTAAAGACTAACATATTTGGGGGGAAAACTAAGATACTTTTCCTCCCTAAGTTGGCCTTTGCCATGGCCAAATAGGGCCTTATGTAAACAAATGTGACTTATTAGAATAGCTGTGACTCTCATGTTTCAGTTGGCCTTTATGCATTCATATGTACTACTTCACTCTTGTATTTTCCCACAAGAAAAAAAAAAAGAGGTAGTGCTGCTGAGTGCCCACACATTTTTGCCTCATTTGCAACTCTCACATTCTTTAGAGTCTGAAAAGCCATTTAGCATTTCAGACATTGGATGTAAAGAGAGATGTTCATCAGTAGGTGGTTCAACAAATGTCTATTTGTTCAATGAAGGTAGAAATCAATGAATGAATGACCGAATGAATGAAAATGATTATGGAAAAATTTCCTTGTTGTACTAGCACATTAGCATGCCAAGCTACAGCACAAACACTACAAGTCTTCCTAACATGGACATAACCCATAACAAACAAATTTCATGCTGGACTCCCTGGTAAAATTCCATGCTGCTAAGTAAAAAGAACTATAGTTTGAGAACACCATACTTTCAACAGAAGTTTAGAATCTTTCTATACTTTTTGTATAGAAAGAAAATGTTCTAAGTCTGTATCTGTGACTGCCTAGTAGCACTTCCATATAAAAGTCACCTCTAACCAGTGTCTAATTGTTTTAAATAAAGGGTCTAAGGAAGAAGATGACATACAGGGTGTCTGTAAAGTTCCTGTGCTAAATTACTATGTTAAACTATTTAAAATTGCACACGAACTTTATTTCCACTCTGTATTTAAAGATTTTATATTCTGAGATTTTTGTACCATCTTTTGAACATGAAGCTGGTGTGAGCCATTATTTAACATGAAATCCATTAATAAGAAAAACATTTAGGAACACTCAAAAGTGTGCTCACATGCCAAGAATGAAAAAGCAAGTCAAGAGATCCTCCTCAGACAAATTTGCTATTGTAAAAAGGTACTAAACATTTTATTATGGCAAAATGTTTTATTTGGCTTTATGCAAATTGCCACTTGCACCATTCTGGGAGAAACCTGTTGTATCAATCTGTTTTACTCCTGTTCAACTGATACTAAGGTACAATTACATAATTAAATGCTACTTTTCCATTCCAAAATTAAACACCAGGCTAGAGGGAGTTACTTGGAGGTCTATTAGAAGGATTCAAGAATTGACTAAGGCAGTTGTAGTAAGGCTCGTGTTACTGTATCTAGTTTTAGTCCATAAGGCATGCAGAGGCAGGGAGTTCAGGGCATTTCTGACCACTTAATTATATAATGATCGGTCCTGTATACCAAGAATCAATGTAGATTATATCACTGATTGTTTTGTTGGTGTTGAATGGGACTGACACTGACTTGTAATAATATAAAGCTCCTTTTTTTATACTTCTAATCATTAAAGATTCCCCTACTGCTGTCTTTTCAGATCCCCATGTGTGCATAACATCAACCACTGGATTCTATTATTAAGTCAAGAGGCAAAAATGATAATGATATACCAGCTTTGTGATTAAACTGGCTGGCAAATTTGATCAGAGGTGAGGCAGTTGTAGCTGATACTGTTTCCTGAAAATACTGCCTTGGAGGGGCTAGAAGATCTAGTTGGTGTCAATATGACAGAAACAGGGTTTTGTTTAACAAAATCGGCCAGTGTTAGAGAATTATAACATACTTAATTAACCTGTTTTTTTTTTTTTTTGCAGTTTTTGGCCAGGGTTGGGTTTGAACCTGCCACCTCCAGCATATGGGGCTGGTGACCTGCTCCTCTGAGCCACAGGCACTCCCTAACCTGTTGATTAAAATCTGCCGAAAGTTTTATTTTCCATGTTCATCTCCCCCTTTCACTTTAAAGGTTTTTTTTTTAAATGTTCAAAAGATATGACAAGGTGACATAGGAAAGTAACTTTTCATTTTCACAAGAAATTTACAACTTAATAGGTAAAAACAAAAACACACTCATAAAACAATGTTAAATTTTTACAAGTGTGTTAAGAAGGTAAGGATGTAGAAATCACATCCAGAGGATTCTCTTTGGATCAATATACTTCTGGACAGGTAGGGCTAGAAGCAACACAGAGATTAAGCAGCACTATAATTAAAGGAAGGGGAAAGGTTTGAAAGAGGCAAATTGGGATTATCAACTAAAAAAAATCTGCAAATAGCCCACAGGGTAATTTCTAAGGTTAAAGCTGAAATGTTGGTGTGGAAATTCCTGATGTGAAAATTCTAGGCTAATACAAAATTAAATCATTTTTTTTGCCTTTTAAAATTCCATATGGAGCATATGAGATACTCCATATGGATTGCTAAAGGTCACACAGAACACTATTAAGGAATCTACTTACCACCTGCATTGGATAACGAAGTTTTTACTATATTTTTTATGCAGAAGAGGAAATTAAGTGATGAACCTGTAAGGAGGGGTTTAACATGCTGTAACTAATGTAATTCTCTAAATAAGTATTTTAGTTCATGGCAGCTGTCGAAGCCCCTTCCAAAAATCAGGTTATAACATAAACTTAGTTCTTACCCTGGCACTTCTTCTTACATTCTTTAATACTATCAGGAGAATCTCAGGGAAAAGGCTGATAAATATTAGAAGAATTATAGCCAACCACATGGATACAGAAGACAGCATTTGAGCAAATACAAAATACATTCTCTGTTGCTTGAGAAAAGGCCTGGAATGGAAAGAAAGCATATAATGGGAAAACAAAATCAGTTCCTGTCACATGAAACAAGTTTAATCGAAATTCTCTCTTACATTTAAAAGAAATCTTCCTTACACATGTTAATAAAAATAATTTTCTTTAGAATATCCCAAAGGTAGTAAACAAATTTCATTTACCAAATGTTTAGAAAGAAAAGGAATGGTAATCAAATGGGAAAAACATAACAAAATGCATTTGACTTGAAAACAATCAGGCAATCAACTCTAAAGCTACCAACTGGTGAATTAGAAAATGCTACAGCTTCAAAGATATTCAAGAAAAAGGACTATTCATTTTTATCCTAACAAGCATTTTATTTCCTCAGCTGTTTATTAAGATGAGGATAGATTTATACTGCACATTTAGAAATTAAAAAAACATTTTTATAACTGTCCCTCACCAAAAAAAACCCTATGTAAATATAAATACAACTGTAGAGTTTATCATATCTCTCAAATGGTAAGAATCTACTATTTTCATCTACAAATACATATGGAGTAGCAGTGTATGCAAAAACAGGCTGATACAGAGTGGAATACTGTTAATAGGCCATTAAGCCTTGGAATCCAGAAATTCAGGAGACTCTCTTATTCTGAAGTTAGATTTCATTCCAAGTCATCCACTGAATTAAGTGGTCTTTGAGAAGGACAGCCAGCATTCCTTTCCTGGTCTGACCTGAGCTACAGAGAGCCTCATGAGGCTAAAATTACTGCTGTTTTAAGCAGAGGGGGATGAAGTAGCTGCTCAACGTCCGGATGTACACCAGTCTATTCCTAGGAATAAGAGCTCTAGGGAGGTAACTAATTGGTCCCATTTATTAGAAGACACATCATGCTTTCTGAAGACAACTTGGTTTCTCATTTAAAGATTAATGTTCATGCACCCTTATGTAACATGATAAAGCTAAGCTTGTGGCTTTCTATATGTGAGAACTAGATTGTGGGATAAAAGTGAACAGGACAGTGAGATAGAGGAAACTCATGAGACCTGGGCCACATAAGCACTCTAGGAAAGTTCTATCACACAGAAAAGACTTTTAGAGACCTTTATCCCACAGTAACTCTTAAGAGCACCTTGAAAAATTTTCTAGGTGGTTAACTAAGTCACAACAAGGGTCCATCAGACAACTAACAGCTAAGTTAGAGTGGGTTTTTTTGCACCATATCCCCACACCTTCTGGTTAATCTCCCAGATTATTTTTTTTACACCATGGCATCTATGGACCTTTGCAAGAGGCAGTAAAAACTAAAGCTATTATTCCTCAGTGGGGTTTAGAGATTAGAAATCATCATTCTCACTGCTCAACCCAAAAGAAGGGTATGTCTCAATGCCTTTGGCTAGAACATGTCCATATATATTAGGTAGAATCAGAATTCAGGTAAAGTTTCTGGTCACATCTTATTGGTCAGTTTACAATATAAGTTTATATTTTGTAGCAGCTCAACTTAGACAACTCTACTTAAAGGTAGCACTTCAGTTAATAAAATTTATTAACATTTCATTTTTAGTAAATATGCTAATGAATAGGAACAGCTGTCATAATGTCTTAACCATTTAAAAGATTTATTTTAATCCATAAGAATAGTATGTGGAAAGGGTTAGCAACTTGTTTAGTTTGCTATAAACATTTTATTCTTGTAGAAATTTTTAAGTCATTAGTTCAAATGCTGATTACACAGATTCATAGATAGATTTATAGTACTCTGGGCAGACATACAAACTGTATGTCCCATTAGGTTAATGAACTTTAATTTATTTTTATATTATTTAAAAATATACAGCTGAAAAAAAATATACAGCTGAACTCTTTCAGCTTTACTGCTCAGTCATTACCTACAGAGTTGTCAAATATAAGCTGTAATGACACATTTTGGAGCTGGTGCTGCATTAGAATTTTCATATTTTTATTTCTTAAGGCTTTTATTTAAAAAAAGAGGTTTTTGAAATAGTAGGAGTTTCTTCTAATTAAATCTCAAGGGACATAAATCTGGGCTTCACATTCCTGTGATAAAATGAAATGTTTTGTATGCAAAATTTTGCTTAAAGCAGTGAAAATATGTACTTCTGAAATCTCACTGGCATCCTTGGCAGGGGAAGCCTTTGGCTAATGAAAATGACTTTGATATTTAAAAACAAAATGTAAGTCTCTTGGCATAAGAAAAATAGATGTAAATCTAACTTATTTACATTTCTTATAGCTCACCCAATAATAGCTTATGTGTCCCTAACTGGACTCAAATGTCCTTGAGGCAGGGTACACAGAGTATCCCACAGAGTCCCAAGCACAAAATTGATTCTAAGCAAACCTTTATTAAACCAAGATGAACTGAATGAACTTTAAGGACAAGCTGTGGAGTCTGCCTTTCTCTCCCCTACCTTCTACCCTCAGCAAAACAGTGAGATGATGATTTCAAAGTATAACCTTCTGAGTATACATACTATACTCTGAGTACACCTGTAGTGACACAAATGGACAGTAATTTATCTATTGGCAAATACATTAGGTGGAAACTTCACAGGATGAGTATTTCTCCTGAAAATCACATGGGAGATCATGCTAAAAATTACATTTTCAGTTCAGAAAGAGTTATTTACATACCTTCAAATTGAAAGAAGACAGGGCTACCAGAGAGAGGTCTTTGGAGTAACTCCTGTAGTCTATATACTTGTATTTAAAATAATACCTAAAATTAGTAGCATTACTGACTACAAAAGACCTCTGATCCATTAATATTAAATACCTACCATCTTATATAATCAAAACTTCAAAAGTATAACAAATGCTTACATATACAATGTACACATACATATATCTACTTTGTTATTTACATATTACTCACACAAGTACACCTGCTTACCAAATAATTCCTCCCCAGAAGAATGAGAAAAATACATAAAAGGCTAAAGAACCCCAAATCACAAAGTGATTTATCCATGTCCAGAAACGAGTGTCCAAGGCGAGCTGAAAAGACAACATAAGAGATTTCATGATGGATACAAAATGTACCAGGCAATACATTATGATATCTGATAGCTTATAAACAATATGATGCCTATGGGAGGATCTAACTTGAGCCAGAGATCCAGAGGAGAGTAGAACTAAAAGAACAGAATCCAGGCTTTTCAGAGAGATTGCCCTAGCCTCTAAACTGTACAGTACAAGGCATGAAGTTGCAGTCAAGTTAAGTAGCTAGGAGTGGGGTTGCAAATATGTCAGTGCTGGGAGATGGGCAAGGAATGAGATAATCCTAATATCTAGGAGGCTGGAGCTCCAAGTTTCAGGTAGTGGCTGCCAGGAAGGTGATGGCAAAAGGAAAAGATCTAGCGGTAGAGGCTGGGCATGTTGGAAAGCAGTTGAGAGAGAGGAGTAAACTAGGAAAGGTAGACAAACTACAAAAAAGGTATGAAAGCTCAAATGCAACTAAGTCAATAAATGCAAAGGCAACTTGGGTTTGACTATGTAATGTACCTTTCCAATTATAAAACCTATGCCTATTTCATAAAATTAATAAAATGTCCAGTTGCATTACATTTTAATATCTTCAGGTGTCTGTCAGGACTGATCATGTTTTCATATTGTGGTGCCTAAGGTTTTAAAATGTGACCTAAAAATCCAAAGTGTGGGCTGCTCTGCTCGCTCAGAAATCTGGTTAAAACATGAGCTAATATCTAGAACATTTAATTCTTTTTAAAAATATTTATTTATTTATTTATTTTTGAGATAAAGTCTGACTCAGGCTAGAGTGCTGCAGCATCAGCCCAACTCACAGGAACCTCAAACTTCTGGGATTAAGCAATCCTCCTGGCTTAGCCTCCAAAGTCAATGGGACTACAGGCACCCTCCACTATGTCCACCTAAGTTTTCTATTTTTAGTAGAAACAGTGGTCTCACTCTTGCTTGAACTCCTGATCCTCCAGACTCGGCCTCCCAAAGTGCTAGGATTTACAGGCATGAGCCGCTGTGCCTGGCATAGAACATTTAACTCTTAATAGAGGAGATAGTGTCTCAGTTTTGTTACTTGCTGTAACATCACGGTTTCAGGTCTCACAGTTTTTTGTTCATAAATGGGACATTGATAACACTGTTAATGTAGCCCAGTCTTGAATTCCTACCCTCTGAGTTGCCAGGGAAAACATCACACTAATACTTGTCTAAAGAGGAGGAAGCAAATGTCTTTTGAGGTACACCTGAAAGCTGTTTCAATAAGGGTGATTTTGTGAAGGGCTTTTGGAACCTCTAGGGCAGTGATTCTCAAACTTCCTAATGCCGCGGCCCTTTAATACTGTTCCTGTGGGTCATGACCCACAGATTGAGAACCGCTGTTCTAGGGCTACTCTATGCAAAGCCAGGGGAAAAAAAGGAGAGGGAGGCTTCTATTTCAAATCATGATCTTGTCAAACATAATTATACTACTACTAATAATAACAATAAATTACATGTATTATAATGAGCATACTCTAAGTGCCAGACACCATTCTAAGTGTTTTACATGTCTTCACTAATTTGGTCCTCACAAAAAAACCTAAGAGGTGTAGGTGCTACTTTCATCTTGACTTTATAGAACAGGAAACAGGCACAGAGAAATGAAGTCACTTGCCCAAAGACACATAGCTAGTAAGTGGCTAAACTGAGATGAACTGTAATGTGCCTTTTTAAAGTCCTAAAATATTACTGAAAATATACACAGGGTGCCAAAAATAAGTATACACATTTTAAGAAAGAAAAAACTGATTAAAATTGCAATACTCATATACTGATAACATTTGTTACCTTATATATCATATCACGTATCTCTTGTAATTGGAGAAGTCAAACATAAGACTTGAGTATTACAATTTTATGGATTATTACAATTTTAAAACAGTTTTTTCCTTTCTTAAAATGTGTAGACATTTCTGGTACCCTCTGTATGTTAGCCTTATTTGGTAAGAGAGATGAACAAAGAACAAAAATTTAGAAGGAAAATTATGAGAGAGGTCCTTTTGACAATTATATTTCTGCATTTTGGTTCTGAACACTGAGCATGTTGGAATTTATTTAAAGGTACTTATCCTTGGACCCCATGCAAAGTGCTCAGTACTGGAATTATCAATAGAATTTGGTCCCACTTTCAACTATAAGACCCAAATCATGCACCTCAACAGCAGCATTCAGTGAAGCATCATAGCATGGCTGCATGTCAATGCCAATTTTGCCAAAATAACCTTTTTTTGTTACCTGCAGTATATCTTCATGCATTTCCTCACTAACATAAATTTCAGTGACTAACACATTTTATAAAATTTTATTATTGTCAAGCTCTTTTGCACACATTATGTCACTCATGTACCTTTATATAAAGTCTTTTTTTTTTCAGTTTTTTTTTGGCTGGGGCTGGGTTTGAACCCACCACTTCTGGCATAGGGGGCTGGCGCCCTACTCCTTTGAGCCACAGGCGCTGTCCTAAAACTTTTTTTAAAAAAATTTTTTGTAGTTTTTGGCCAGGGCTGGGTTTGAACCCACACCTCTGGCATATGGGGCCAGTGCCCTACTCCTTGAGCCATAGGCGCCGCCCATATAATGTCTTTAGTACCCAAATTCCTTCCAGGCCTGGGGTTCTTAAACAGGTATGTAATTTTAAAAAGAGATTCAAGTGTTTAACATGAAAATAAACAAATACAGACCCATACTTATTCATAGTACATTTATATGGCACTTATCACAATTCCTTCAAATTAGCACAAAAAATATTCTAATCTAAGTATAGTGTTTCAATTTTTTTTCAAATTAAAACTAAATAAGAGGAAATAGTATACTAAAAAGAGATCACAAATAGTATACAAATGCCAAAATCCCTAATATCATACATATTTTAGTAAGTATTCAGACAAAGGCTTGAATAACAATTCCCAATAAAGTATACAAGATAAAAATGATGTATTAGGATACAACCAGAAAGTACTACAATATATTAAATATATTTGAATAAGTAAAAATCTAACCTTCAGAGTTACAGTGAATACTAAGACTGTAAAAACAATGGTTCCAAACGTCCAGTTTCCATATACCTGAAAAACATTTAACAATTATATGTGCCATGAATACATTAGCCAACTTTAAAAAGAAATAGCCAAGTTTAATTCTGTATAGAAATGCCAAAGGTTTCTGTATGATTTTCTTGGGGAAATAGCTAGGGAATGAGATCAGGCCACAATCCTCGATTTTCCTGTGATCCTAAATTTTCATGGATAGGTACACCACATCTGTGGTTGGTGTTTATTTCCATTATTCCATGCAGCATTGAACAGGGAAGTTACTGATGTGATAAAGGCAGGAAAAGAACCCACAACTATTCCACTAACAGCAATGCTCACAAAACAGTACTTTTGATGACTCATACTCTATGGAGTTTGGTATGAGCTTTTCCTATAACATAGAACGAAAGCTCTCAAATCAGCAATAATTTGTAGACAAATGGACCCACATTTTTTAAATAAGCATAATTTTGGGGGGCTATAAATACTAGAGTTGTCAGCATGTGCAAATCAAAGAAAAGCAGATACCACATATAAATCCAAACGATGGCAATGAATGGCACATATGCTTACCAAACGCTGTCAAGATCTGAATGCATAACATTAAAACAGAAAATGAGATGAAAAAGGATTTTAAAAAATAAAAACAAAAAATTAAAATAGAAGCAAAAAAAAAAAAAAGATTCAATCAAATCATACATGGGTGTTATGTTTAGTTGCTAGCAGCAGTTCTTACCTTAATATACTTTAGCAACATTTAGAAGGACAGTGACATATACAGTAACTTCATGAACTCCAAATGGGTAATAAATTGAAAAGGCTGGCCTGACATATCTCATGCATTGAAAAATTTGCTGAGTAACTGAATCATGTCAACAGGACTGTAGGAATATGCACCTTCTCTGGAGCAAACTTTTTTTATTCAGACACATTTAATTTAATTTTTTTTTTTTTTT